GCCACCCTCGCCCGTCGCACGTCTGATCCAGGTGAGTCGGGCTCCAAATCGTCCACACGCTGCCCCTCTCGCCGGCCGTGCATCTCCGCGACCCAATCACTATCGTGCGTCTCCGCGACCGGCCTCCGTGATCGGCCTCCGCGACCAGCCTTTGCGACCGGCCTCCGTGATCAGCCTGCAACGCCGGAGGGTACGGGCCTCACGCAATCATCAATCTACTTCGCTGCCATTCTCGTCCCTGCACGATAGTGGAGAAGCAGCAGCAACGGGATCATCCACCGCCTATCTTACGCTCCGCTGCAAGACGCCGATAGTGCAATCCAGGTTTTTTCTCCCTCATTTACTGTTCATGATCCGGCAACACCCTACTGGCTTGGATCTGACTGTGCGAGGGAGTGCGGCCATCATGCCTAATAGCCTGGGTGACATTATCGTGCATGGTAACATCATTGTGCTTGGCTCTCTATGGCGGCCGGTGCATCCTTTTCCTATTCGTCGATCTGGTCAGAGTGAGTGGCCGGAAGCCCGGAACATCTCTACCATGAATCCTTGATCTCATCTCTTTCTGTGCCCTGATCGACTGCGAAGTCACCAAAGGCAACAAAAGGTCAAATTGGAGACCTTAACCCTGTGCTTTTTGAACCTGCCATCGCTAACTTGTATTGAGTCTTGACGAAAGGCTGTGAATCGCGACCAGGTCAGTTGTTCACTAGGCTGTTTATCTAATTTGGTCTTTTCACCAACTAATTTGGTCATGCAGGTCGGTTGTTCACTAGGCTGTTAATCTTCTGAAGTTCTCTCAATTTTGCTGTCTTTCACTGGTCCTCGATGGATCAACTTTCAGTTTGTGTAACCATGACTTTCTAGGTAAGATTTTGTCATCAGCTAAGACCCAAACACTTTGTGTTTTTCTTTCTAATATTGTCACAATCTTGTCATCAGCTAAGATCTAAGTACGTGAACATCATTGTTGACATCTTATTTTGGCATATCCATCTAAATTTTAGTTGTAGTTTAATAGAGCATGGAAAGGCTTGTAGATTATTTTTGTTAGCAGTTTGAGTTTCCAAGTCCAACTGTAGATCTGTTGTGTTTCTATTTCAATCAATTGTTTTCGATCTCACACCATCATTTATTAGTTTCTTTAAAATTTCTGAATGATTGCCAATTGCTCATCTTTATATATAGTTAGCATCAGTTTGCCGACCTTCCATATATTCACAGCTTGGTTGCAGTAGTTGCTCTTTTCACCAACTGACAATAGCGAAGTGAATAGCTGCACATTTTTTTAACAACAATGAACTCGCTATTCATCTCAACTTCATTTACCTTCCACATAAGTTCAGGCATCATATAATCATAAACCACATTAATTTAGCCTTAGCCAACATATCTGATTGATTCTACGATCATGAATAGGGTGATCTGATACAAATTACTTTGAATGCAGTATGAATGGTGTGCGATCTATTGTGTTCAAGGAATTTGCTCATGCTCAAATCTGATTGATAGCCAAAGCCAACCAACATGCAGGTTCTTACACTATTCATCAATTTAATGCTTCATGGATTTCTCTTATATTTCATTAAGTTATTACTCGTATGTTTGATAGCCAAAGCCAACCGACCTGCGACCCGTTGCGTAACTCACCACAACTGCTTAGGACATGAAGTTCGCTGACCAGGCGATCATCGGTGATGGGTGTCTAACAGGTTGACCATTGCCTTCTTTGTTCCCCTGTAGAGTTTTTAAAGTCTAAACTGTTAAACTGTATTTTTCTTATTAGCTTTTGTAACTGCAATGTTTATGCAAGTATCCTCAGAAGAACCTGTTAAGTAATTGTCCTATCAAGTATATACTACGAGCTTGTTGACTGATAGTTAAGTAATCAATGCTTTTAGGCTTAGGTTAAGGCCTTGTGTTGGGCCCGAGGTTTAGTAGGGATTGTTTGATACCAATCTTTTTCTTCCTTCGGAATGCCATCATCTGCAAAAGGCTTATTCTTGTTGTTAACATGAGGCTTCCTTCATGAGGCTTTCCATGGTTTTGTAGAATGACGACAGTACATAAGGAGGCATCAATGAGCATAAATTGAGTGATTAATTTTCATGGCACTGCAGGCTTTCACCTCCGGGTTGTGAGAGGTCCCGTGATTTATTGGAGCGGCCGGTATTTAGGCAAAGTATGGGCACTAAACTAAAAAACTATATATGTAACTACAAATACGGTTTGTGATTGTTGTGAGTAGGAGATGCATGGGTATTTAAATAAATGTCTCCATCCAAAATTACAACTATGGGCTACAAACGGATTGTTGTGAACGTCACGTTCGAAATCATTTTTTTAACAATACAACGCACAATCGAATTTAAATTATCGTGGCATTATCTTGTTCCCGTTGCAACGCACGGGCATGATCCTAGCTGCATCACGGAAAAGTTTATACAGTAGAGTTTGTGAGCCTGCGACGCCGTGCTCTCCGTGACTGTTAATTTCATAAACTATGCTTTTTGGATTAACTGTCATTTTAACGTTGGTATTTAATTTTTACGGTATTGTTATCTTATCGTGCGATCCGTGTGTTTTTTCTATAAATTATTAGTTATTCCGTAGCAACGCACGGGCACGCTACCTAGTTTAATAAAAGAAAGGGCTTCAAAATCCAGAATTGCTAACAAACCAATGATATAAGAATATTCATTAGGTGAATTACTTTTATGTGGTCATTAGTGAACTTCCCCAGATAACATGCAAATGTCTGGAATCTCCAGATAAGGAAGTACTCTTCTCAAAACACAACCGCTAACTACAGATAATTCTTCATTTGCTCCTTGGTTTAGACTTTAGAACAGCACTAGATCTTAATTAATTGTGGGAGCAGACCTCCTAAAGCACCAGACCTTTTTATGAACCAATTGCAAGTAAAAGTATAGTCTTTGCAGCAAGTTAAACAATAGTATCACAAGTTCACAACTATGAATGCTCATGGGTCCAGGAGACTAACATCTTGTGGGCTGGGTACTGTGCTAGTCTCTGAGCGAGCAGTCTTTTGTAGCAGTACAAAACCTAACCTATTCGATATTTCTGATTTGAACTTAGACATAATCAATCTTGTGGTGTGCTTTTTCCTCCCTCCACAGCATGCCTTGATAGCTTCGCCTTTCCCATACAAGTAAAGAAGACTTGGGCAGGCGGCGGCTCTGGAGTCAGACTTCGGGATGTGGATGGTACCGGCTGCCGTAGCAATGATATGGTGGCCATCGCAAAACAGGCAGATGAGCCAGAAGAGGAGGCGCGCCACCGCAACGCACATAAGGTCATGGTTTCAATGGACGGGTAGGTGGCTCGGCATGGTATTTTGGTTTCCTCTAATATCTCATAGTTCATTGCCTCCGTCCATAACTTCATATATAGTTTCTTACAAGATATATGCATGGCAGGTTGCAACATTTTGGAAGGACGATGAAAAATCCTAGGCATAGTGGTAGGAGCATATATAATAGTCATGAGTGCTGATATAGCTTATAAGCATGCAAATTGTTGGCGCAAGTCATCCAAAACTGTTGATGTATCATTTATTTATCATGAGTGTAGTGCACTCAAGAATCATCCGGGTATTTTGGACGATGGCATGATGCATGAATGCAATTGTGGTGGTGACAAATTAAACTCTTGGCTTAGATGGGCTCTTATGGGCCTGTTTAATACAGCTTATAAGCTGTTTATGATCAACTAAGATGGATCTAAAAGCCAAACGACACACATTTTAACATCTTTTTCTGGGAAGCTTCTCCTTACAACATCCATTTATATTAAAACACAGAAGTTGAGTCAGACCAACGTATTTTGACCATGCTTTTGCTTCATTTATATTGCTTCATTTATATAGCTTCTCACATAAGCGTTTTTCACCACGGTAGCGTGTGTTCCACTGTATTTTACAGTAGGTCACGTCTGTAATTAGAAAGTGGTGCTCTCATGTTATATTATATTTTGGGTTTTGAAGAAATCCAAAATATTAATTCTCATCGGTATTATACAACTGGGAAAGAGCCCAACACACACGTACACATACGGAGTCCTGCTCCTGCGCCAATACATTTTACCGACGCACGCGTGTTAACTGTTTGATCATATCACCTGAAGAGAGAGGGCACGCATGCGCAACAAATAAATATTAATAATGCGCCTGTCTGGAATTAATATATAACCTATTAACCTTGAGCGGGACACCTGATGGTACAACCAAATCTGAGCTAAGTCTGGTGGTATAGACATAGTCACAAAATTCTTGAGATGATTAGGTCGTGAAACATGGTATGCTCGTTAAGAAAGAGGTTTTCACTGTGGGGAGAGAAGATTGATCCCGTGTTCCCATTCCAAGAACGCATGTTCCCAGAACATATGGAACGTGGTACCGTACCATGTTCCTAGTGACAATGGGTATATATAGTACATACATTGCTTTAACGATGGCAAAACATAGGACAGCCGCCTAGACATAGAGTAACTCACTTCCTGTTTGCCACCACATGCAGAACTAACATGGTTCCTTCGGGGCGTATGGTGGTTTTAGCTAGGTCTCAAAGATCTCACCATCGTGTACCATGCTCCCAAACTCCTGTACGTGACGTGTTCGTGTGCAACCATCTTTTCATGAGACAACGTTGTTCTTGAGCCCTGCATTATCATATCTGCTACGAACTTCCCGTGCCAATAATATAGAGTCAAACTGATGAAACTGTTTTAGTTTGTATACTTTTAGGTAAAAAGCGGACTAGCGCATACATGGTTTCAATAGCAAATATTGGACACGCTATAAGAAAATCAACATTCTTCCCCATAACCATTCAATCAAATTAAATGAGCTTAAAATTTAACAAATTATACATATATAAATCTCCTTACCAAAGTATATAATATACTAATATTTATATAACATTATAGCCTAGACTAATAACTTATAAAGTATTTACAAACCATAGCTAAACAAAAACTATCTAATCTAATAAGGTTTGATCAACAAAGGTGATGTAGTCGAGCTCTACCGACCCTAACCATAGATTGCCGTCCTTTTCGGCGACATCGCTGAGAGTGACACTCTTGTCTGCAGCTATTATCTCTTGACGCTCCACGCCTTTAGCATCTAGGCGTACGCCGACAATATGCTTGCCTAGCGCGACCCAGTAGCCTCCTCTGGTATCACGCCTGATGTTGTCCGGGTACCCAGACAAGTCAGCAAAGAGCTCATAGGTTCCAGCCTTAAGGTTGTGGTTTCGTTGGACGGGTAGGTGGCTCGGCATGGTATTTTGGTTTCCTCTAATATCTCATAGTTCATTGTCTCCGTCCATAACTTCATATGTACTTTCTTACAAGATATAAGCATGGCAAGTTGCAACATTTTGGAAGGATGGAAAATCCTAGGCATAGTGGTAGGAGTATATATAATAGTCATGAGTGCTGATATAGCTTATAAGCATGCAAATTGTTGGCCCAAGTCATCCAACACTGTTGATGTATCATTTATTTATCATGAGTGTAGTGCACTCAAGAATCATCCGGGTATTTTGGACGATGGCATGATGCATGAATGCAATTGTGGTGGTGACAAATTAAACTCTTGGCTTAGATGGGCTCTTATGGGCCTGTTTAATACAACTTATGTTAGAAATTTAGGCATTTTCATTATCAGTTTAATCCAGAAATATAACATCAGCAGGTTTGTGACAGGATATATGTGCATGCGTATATTTCTTATGAACGCTACAATATGCATAGATGACGTACTCATTGATACAGTAAGAATACAAAATACAGTAATCATAGAGATTAGACTGTACCCAGCGGAGGGTCCCATGCCGAGGGCATCGGAGGCTCCATTCGCACTAGTCGACATAGTGCGTTGCTCGAAGTCACGGACCACAGTCGATGCAGGAAGATATTCGCAGTGCAGTCCCACGAACGGATCACCAGGAAGAAGACGCCTTGACGTTCCAGGGAGAAGACGGATCCAAGAGCGATCTCCAGCAGGAAGAAGATGGACGAGCAGTCGCGGGTTGCTCCCCAAAAACCTAATCGCCGCTCACCCCGTGCCGGATTCTCAGGCAGCTGAGGGTTCCGGAGGCACCTGCTCTCCCGCTCCTCCGTGCGCGCAGAGGAATGGGACGGGGAAGACAGAAGGCTGCTGATCTATGGTTCTCTCGGGAACTGTTGCGGAAGCAGGGGTCTGGACTGACGGAGGACATGATATGTATGGCTGCTGCGGGGAAGGGAGAGAGGCAGCGGAGAATTCCAGGAGACGGAGAAGCGAAAGCGGAAAGGACGGTAACTGACGCAATCAGTTCGCCTCCACCATCAAAGGGAGTAACTCCCGTGATTATATGGATTAAGTGGCAAAAGACTGGCCATGCCCGCCCGCTCGCTCGCCGCCCGCCTGCCAGACCACGGCCTCGGCCCGGCCCGCGCTCGCGGCCCGGCCCGGCTGGCGGCGGCGGCGGCGCGCGCGCACGCGTGTGGCACGCCTTCTAGGAAACAACATCACCTCCAAGCGAAAACACATATCCACTTGTGGCATAAAGCTCATCAGCATCAGAAATCCAATTGGCATCACAATAGCCTTCCAGCACTTTTGGATGTCCGATATAACAAATACCATAGCTCATGGTTCCTTTTAGGTAGCACATTACTCTCTCAAGAGCACGTCAGTGATCATCTCCCGGGTTTGACACAAACGGCTCAGTTTGCACACAGCAAATGAGATGTCAGGCCTTGTTGCACTAGCAAGATACATGAGCGAACCAATGATCTGGGAATATCTCAACTGATCCCTTGCTATTCTCTGATTTTTCCTCAATAGCACACTAGGGTCATAAGGTGTAGGAGCAGGTGCACAGTCACTAAATCCAAAGCGACTCAGTACCTTTTTCCACATAGTGGGTTTGTAACAGAGTTACCCCACCATCACCTTCTCTTATAAGCTTGATATTAAGAATAACATCAGCCTCTCCCAAATCTTTCATCTCAAAAATTTTAGATAGAAATTCCTTCACCTCCTCGATCACTTTGAGGCTGGATCCAAATATCAGTATGTCATCAACATATAAGCACAAAATGACTCCTTCACCCCCACCATACCGATAGTATACATATTTGTCAGCTTCATTCACAACAAAGCCAACAGATGTTAAAGTTCTGTCGAACTTCTCATGCCATTGCTTAGGAGCTTGTTTTAGGCCGTATAATGACTTTAATAATTTACACACTTTGCCTTCTTGACCTTTTGGTACAAACCCATCAGGCTGATCCATATAGATCTCCTCCAACTCTCCGTTTAGGAAAGCTGTCTTCACGTCCATTTGATGAACGATAAGACCATAAGAGGCTGGCAGGGAAAGCAAAACTCGAATTGTGGTAAGTCGGGCAACCGGTGAATAAGTATCAAAGAAATCCTCAGCTTCCTTTTGAGTATAACCCTTGGCCACAAGCCTTGCCTTGTACCTCTCAATAGTACCATCAGACCTAAGTTTTTTCTTGAACACCCATTTGCACCCTATAGGCTTGCACCCATAGGGACGATCAACAATTTCCCAAGTTCCATTAGACATAACAGAATCCATCTCACTCCGTACTACTTCCTTCCATAAGTCAGCATCAGGAGAGGAATATGCCTCTTCAATGGTCGTTGGTGTGTCATCCACAAGGTACACAATATAGTCATCATCAAAAGACTTTGCAGTCCTCTGTCTCTTACTTTTCCTGGTGACTATAGTGTCATCCTCCTCAGGATTTTGCATATAGGGTTTCTCAATTTGTTCTATCGAAATAAAGTTTTCATGCTCATGGGGAATTATAAATTCATGACCAGTTGTGCTAGGTGCATTTTTCATGGGAAACTCATTCTCAAAAAATGTAGCGTCTCTAGATTCTATGATTGTATCAACAACTATCTCAGGAAAACTAGAGTTTATAATTAAAAATCTATAACCCACGCTGTGAATAGCATAACCAAGAAAAACACCATCAACAGTCTTTCGTCCAAGCTTTCGCTTTTTGTTTATTGGCACATTCACCTTTGCCAAACAACCCCAAGTTCGCAGGTAAGAGAGATTTAATCTCTTCTTCTCCCATTCCTCGAATGGTGTAATTTCTTTGTTCTTTGTGGGCACTCTATTCAGAACATGGCATACTGTCAAAATAGCCTCACCCCACCATTCCTTAGATAGTCCCGCAGTCTTCAACATGGCATTAACCAAATCAGTTAGAGTGTGGTTCTTTCTCTCTGCAATCCTATTGGACTGTGGTGAGTATGGTGGCTTCCTCTCATGAATAATTCCGTGCACCGCGCCAAACTCAGAAAATTCATTTGAGTAATATTTCCCCCGCGATCGGACCGCAAACGCTTGATTTTCTTCTTAAGTTGATTTTCTACTCGGCTTTATAGACTTTAAAATAATGCAACGCTTCATCTTTTGTTTTTAATAAATACACGTAGCAAAATCTAGTACAATCGTCTATAAATGTCATGAAGTATCGTCTACCGCCTTTAGTCAATTCGCCATTCATTTAGCATAAATCAGAATGAACGAGTTCTAATGGTGCCAAGTTCCTCGCCTCAGCAGCCTTGTGAGGCTTACGCAGTTGTTTCGATTGCACACACACCTGGCACTTAGAATCTTTGACTAAGTTAAATTTCGGGATTAAATTCAGATTTGCAAGCCGCGTGAGACAGCCAAAATTAATGTGACAAAGTCGTGAATGCCATATATTCGACTCATCCGAAACATTAACATTGTTCACCACTTTATTACACACATCATCAAGCAAAGATAAGCGGAACAAGCCTCCGCAATCATAACCTTTTCCAACAAATGTTCCATGTCTCGACACAACACATTTATTGGACTCAAGCACAATTTTAAAGCCATCGCGACACATCTGAGAAGCGCTAACAAGGTTCTTTTTGATGGAGGGGATATGCTGCACGTTCTTTAATAGCACCGTCTTTCCCGAAGTAAACTTCAGAACGACCGTACCAGCACCAAGAACACGCGCATGCGAACCGTTTCCCATCAGCAAGGCTCCACTCCTGCCGGCCTGATAGGAAATAAATAAAGAAACATCAGCACACACATGAATATTAGCACCACTGTCCATCCACCACTCAGGTGAAAGACAAACTGAAAGAACAAAAGGTAAAGAATTACCATACCCAGATGTTCCTCCTCCAGTCGCGCTAATTACCACATTTGATGATTTCTTTTCTTGCTTATATTTACGGTCTAGGCACGCACTTGCCCAATGCTCATCACTCCCGCAAACAAAGCATCCTCCACCTTTCTTGTTGTTTTTCTTCTTAAACTGTGCAGTCTGCTTAGGCTTTGCATTATTGTTCTCTTGCATGTTCTTCTTCTTTTTATTACGAGATGCAAATGAGTTTTTCTTCTGCACCATATTGGCAGCGGAAGACTCAACTCCTTTTCCACGATTGTCTTTTGCTCTCGCCCTCTCCTCAACATCAAGAGATCCAATAAGCTCAGCCACGCTAAACTCTTGTCTCTTGTGTTTTAGAGAAGTAGCAAAATCCCTCCAAGAAGGTGGCGACTAAGCGATTATACCGCCGGCCACAAACTTGTCGGGCAACAAACATGGGAAATGTTTTAGTTCCTTCGCTAGCGCCTGTATCTCATGAGCCTGTTCGACCACAGAATGGGTTTCAACCATTTTGTAGTCATACAGCTGCTCCATGAGGTACAACTCACTGCCAGCATCAGAAACCCCAAACTTTGCCTCAAGAGCATCCCATAACTCTTTGCCTGATGTGCAAGATATGTAGTTTTTCTCATACTTGGGATGAAGTGCACTAATTACGGCGCCTCAAAATAGGTTATCGGCAGCCAAGAACTTTCGCTCCTCCTCAGGAGTGAACTGTTCAGGCTTCCTCTGTGCGGCGTGATAGCAGTTCATTGCAGTCAACCACAATACCATCTTTGCACGCCATATCATAAAATTCTTGCCATCAAAATTATTCGGCTTCAAAGCGGCAGCAAAACCACTGACAGAAAATTGCCTATTATTAGGTTTTTGGATTGTTAGAAATTTAGGCATTTTCATTATCAGTTTAATCCAGAAATATAACGCTACAATAAATGTGTATGTGTATGTGTATGCAGAAATTATTGGGCTTCAAAGTAGCAGGTTTGCGACACATATATGTGCATGTGTATATTTCTTATGAACGCTACAACATGCATAGATGACGTACTGATTGATACAGTAAGAATACAAAATAGAGTAATCATAGAGA